ATTTGAGGGTCCAGCCTTTTAGTCATGTCAGATTTGCTTCAGTCAACACTTTGAGTCTGTAGGATAAAAAAAAAATCTCAGCCCTCTTTAAATTGGAGCTCATGTTTACAAAGTCAGTGTAAGGACAACATGGAGCGTATGCATTCAGAGTGTTAAATTATATTCATTTTCTCATTTTTAACCTATGAAAATGAGAAAATGATGAATAAAAACTACCTGTATATAAAATAATGACAAATAACTTGCTGAAATCCTCATGTATAAACAGTATTCAAGGGTCCCTTCTTGTTGATGCTAAAATATACATTTACAAGGTGTGGATGGAGGAGTGGCCGTAGGAATGCTACTGCCCTCATGTGGTGAATTAATTATTACATTCAGTGTTGGCTACTGAACACTAAAGGATGCAAACTGGGCTGAATTCATCATCATCCATCATTTAATGTTTTACATTTTAGACATCTGGGGGAGGTGTACTGTATAATAAGCTTCACATTTCCAGCAACCAGTTTAAAAAGGACGAACGTCAGGTTTTTTTATCCTCAGTGAGCAGATAATAGATATAACCTAAAAGTGGAAGTTAATAAATAAGAGCCAGAGGGAAGACAACAATAACAGTTTTTAAATAGTTTTAAAGAATATGCTGTTATGTGGGATGCTGTACAAATTTATGAATGAATAATTCTGTTTTGTTCTGATTCCTTTAACACCACAGGTTACTGTTCTGTGACCATTATCGATTGCCCTCGGCGTACATGGCACAGGAAACGAGCTGCAGATTTCTCTTTTTATTTGAGGTGACTGTAATGAGCTCCAGTATATTGTAATGAGGCACGGAAACTAAAAGAAGTCAGCCGGCCGTTGTTCGGTTCACCTTGAGCTTTACAAGTAGTCATACATTCCCAATAGTCTAAAGGTTTCTTAATAAGCCGGTTAGCAAAATTGTAATCACATGTTCAGGTGTGTAGGTAGTAGAAATACGTTTTTTATCTTCACTATTACTTATAATAATTTGTGTCCATTTTTTTTTTAAAACAGGATATAACAACAGACATAAATAAAATCTTGGAGAAACACAATATAATAAGTGTACATTATTGACAAGTCTCTGCATTTTAAAAACAGAATATCACTGTGTTTCACAGTCATGCCCATATATCTGCTAGATAGATTATTTTAGTCTGGTCCTAAATTAAAATCATATTACTGTACGTCAGGTTTGTTGCAGGAGAAAGTTGAAGAGATGTTAGTCCACCATGTTTTCAGATACACTCTTTCACTGGGTCAAATCAAACAACAAGTTTAAGTTCTTTAGTTCCCTGATATGCACAAACAAAATGGAAATAAAATAACCAAGATAACAATAAATGAGAAAGTCGTATCTACCCCAGTCAGGTTTCACACAAATATATTGGCTTAATCTATAAAGTTATATATGGTTGCTCTTAGAATAGCCTAATATGACTGTGACGGTTTCAAAAAAAAAAAAAAAATGTATAAGGCAAAAAAGTGTAGCCAGTCTAGTGCAAAGATTTACCAGAAATAACAGCAGGGTTTCCGTTCAATCACCTGCTGGTTAAAAACTCAAGCAGCTCGCTCTGATGTTTTTTTGGTTTGAAAAGATTCCCAATTTACCCAGAATGCAGAGCAAACAAGTCCTATTCAGAGGATAGCCAAGGATTTAGCAGTGTTTTGCAACTGTTGGACTATCTGACTATTTGTTGGATCTAAGCCAGACTCAATGTGTGCCGTCGAGAAACCGACCACAGAGGGAACTAAATAAAAAACAAGATGGAAAGAACTCCTACGGAGAGATGAGTGACAGCAAGCTCAAACAGAACAGTGTGAGGGAGGTGAGGAAAAACATGGAAAAAAATCTCTGCCTGAGACCAGCCAGGAGAAAGTGATGGAGGGCAAAAAGGAAAGAGTTACACCTGTTTGGCTCAGTCCAGATATGTCCACCCCCCACTTTGCTCTCACCCTTTCACTCTTACATTCTCTGTTGACCCTAAACTGTGGGTCTGTTTCTCCAACATGAAAAGAGAGCTGGGGAGGCCTAGCTTTAAACCTTAGTGCTGAGAGCACGCAGCAGTCTCCCAAAGATATATCATTTACAAGCAGTAATCCTTACAAGATGAGCAGAACACCACAAAGGAAAAGCTGAAACCGAAAGTTTGGCATTTGTCATAAAATAAACTTAATTAAGTTGTCAAATTTCAGGCATCTATTGTCTGATGTTTTAGCTCTAAATTCGGTCATTTCATCTGCCCCACAAGAGCAGGTAGGAGTCATATGTATTCATGTCTGACTGTAGTTGCTGTGAGATTATGCATATTTGGAATATATGTAACTTTACCACAATCCAAATGTTGATTTTTCACACTTTTTAGTCAAGATAAACAAGCAGCCAGCACTAGTTTTTCCATCAAATGTGTATTGCTTTGTATAAAATTGACTCTTGGAACTCTATGGAGTTTTTTTGTTTACTCTTTAAACTTGTTTTGTTTAATGACTGAGTCACGGCCGTTGAACACCTGACGTCAGAAAGCTAATCAAGATAAACCAAAACAGAGCTCGTGTAGAGTGAGCATTGTACTCACAGGCATCAGGTGGCCAGTCACATGACTCCAAACGAATATTTATGTTGCTCCGTGTCCAGTGAATGTGAATATAAGTAACGTTGACAAGCTAACATGTTAGCCAAACACCTTTTGCAGGTGGTCAGGTGAAGACAGTAGAGCGTCCATCTTGATTTAATGTTTTTCTGCCCCCTAGTGGCCAAAGATCCTTCGGCATTAAAGGGATAGGTCGGATGTTTTGAAGTGGGACGTCGTATGAGGCACTTATGCATAATCACCTTCCAGTACCTATACTACCATAGCAGGCTTATGGTACAATACAAAAATACCAGGATGTTCTACTGCATCTGGTTGCATTTTGCAGTGTGCTATTCTCTCCCAAATCCTTTGTGCAGCAGATACATGCATATGAGCAAGAGGGTCACAGTTCAAGGTGCAATATGTTATGGATTTGTATATATATGTTCCAATCGAATGCATACTGCATGCAACAGTATGTATTTTGTAAGGGCAGCAGCAGTGTGTACCAAGAGTAAAAACAAAAAGTATGCGATTTGGAACACAGCGTCAGTGTATTACTGCAGTAGACAGCGGTCAGCATGCCCCCAGTTTGGAGAAGCAAACATGGAGACATGTGAGCAAAGCAATGTAAGCTACTGCTGTGGTTGGGGGGCAGAAAATATATTTTAGCACCCTAAAAGAAAGGTTAAGTGTTGCCTATTCTACATTTAGAATAATTTCTGAATTGAATTGAACTGAAAGTAAAACTGGCTAAAATATCAAAAATAAGTTTTGCTGCTGCCCCCGTCCACAGCAGTACATTGCTTTGCTCCAGCGCCAGATATCCTAAATACCTCATACAATCCTCCTTTAAAGCACTCGAACTATCCCTTTAAATTCATATTTGGATTTGTTTACTGCTCAGTGGAGTTAAGCCAAAATTAATTTTGCATTTTCCGCTGCACAAATAAAGAAAACTTAATTGCAAGCAAAATGTCTTTGTGACTGTTCAATTCTTTCAGAAGGCACAGATGTCCTTGCTAAAGTGAACAAAGCTGGAGCTCCGTGTAGTTTTGAGAGAATTTACACCATTAGTGTAACATAAAATATTCAAGAACTACACAGGTTTGTTCAAGCAACAATCTCTGAAGTCCAGCTGAACTTTGCAAGCTGTTAATACATCATATTACGCTCTGGCAGATCCACACAGGATGTACCTTATCTTATCGGTTCTTACTGTGTGTTGTGAACATTAATCATGGATTTGTCTTGGAGGAAAAGAAAAATCAATACGCTAATGCATTTGAGGTAAAATTAGGTCATTATCACAATAACACCAAGAGCCATATGTGGGCCCTAACTGCATTTTATTATGTGTAAAGAAATGAAACATCCATCTTTTGTGTTTCAATAATTCAAAGGGTGCAGCAGAGATTAATGATTGGTTAATAAAAAAGACCAATCACCAATGCCACAAGGCTGCAGCGGAAAAATGTCTTTTCAGGAAAATATGCTGCTTTCACACTTTAACTTTCTTTGTTGTTAGTTGATCAGGATGGAAAAACATTCATTCCTGCAAAAACCCTCATGTACGTGTTTCCATTACGCTAGGATGCATTGTGAGGATTATTTGTGCAACACTACACTACTTAAATCTGACCTGGAATTGTGCAACCAGTTTAGGAACAAAACAAAAGGACAGTTATTTAGAATGCCATTTATGTCATTGAATTTTCAAGAATCTAATACAAATGCATACACATACATTTCACCACCTAAAACCACATTATAACCACTACTGCAATAAACGTCACCATACAAATAGAAAAAGAATCAGGAAGTTGGCTTTCAAGCTAGGGAGGGGTCATGAAGAGCCTCAAGCTCACATGCTCACAAACTAGTTTATACACATTCAAAAGGAGCATCCAGTATATGTGTGTGCGCACACACACACACACACACACACACACACACACACACACACACACAC